TGGACCCTGCCCTTAGCAGCTCTAATTTCGTGGTCTGAGATGAGGCCAGACGTCGTTTTTAAAAGCACTTCGAGTGCAGCCAGACTTAGAAAGCACTGATATAGGGGCGCCTGGGTGGCTCAGTCGTTAAGCGTCTGCCTTCGGCTCGGGTTATGATCCCGGGGTGCTGGGATCGAGCCCCGCATTGGGCTCCCTGCTCAGCGGGAAGCCTGCTTCTCCCTCTCCCATTGCCCCTGCTTGTGTTCCCTCTCACTGTGTCTCTATCTGTCAAATAAAGAAACAAAATCTTTAAAAAAAAAAAAAAAGAAAGCACTGATATAAATCCAATTCCACTCTCTCTGAAGTCCTCACCTCCTTTTCTCTTCCTCCCCATACCTAGCTTCCAAGGGTATACATCCCTACAAGGGTGTATGCAATAAAGCAGCCCCAGGATCACTGCTCTTGGACTGGTAGGGTGACCAAATGTCCCAGTTTTAAAACCGGAAGTCCAGCATCCTGGCAGACCCCTCAGTGCCATCAAACTTGGAGGCTGGTCACCCTACTTCCAGGGTTACCAGCTCATCTGATTGCGACAACTCTCCGCCCACTGACCCAGAGTTAGGAGACTGCCTTCCTCCTCCGTCTTTCCTGCTCATCCCAGGCCTCAGGGACCGAGGACCCTAGGACCCACCACTCCCCTTTTGGCCTCCAGTTCTGGTCCTGGACCCCAGGAACTGCCCAGCCCTCCTGCTGCCCTAGCCTGGAAAGCCCTGCGCATTTGAAAAGGGACGGGGTAGGCTGAGTGCCATCTGGCTGGCAGCCCCTAGGCTGATCTGCCCCATATCTGAAATGGCACCCTTGGTGCTAATGTGTTCCTTCCTGTGGTCCTGGGGCTCTAAATCCAGAAGCCATTTACTAAGCAATGTTCGTATTTATTTGTGAAATTATATGGACCTTTACAGCATACTTATAAAGACAAATAAATCCCTGCTCGCGTGGCCCAATTTGTTGTTCTAACCTGACACTTTGGTGTCATAATCACCTTTCTCTCAGCTGGTTATGGCCAAGGCTGTTAGGGATTTATTAGAAGCATTTTATAATGTGCTTTACAAGATGTTGTTTGAGGCCGTGGCTTAGTTTATGGGAGAGAGAGCGAGGGAGGGAAGGATGGAGAACAGGGGGTGGAGAAAGGGGAGAGAAGGAGAGAGAGATGAGAGCAGGTAACAAGCTTTTGTGCATCTGGAAGCATCATCCAGGGGTGAGTTTATTGGGAACTCTCTCACCAAGCCCCACACCCTGCCCCTGCCCCTCCTCACCCACCACTTGAAAAACTTCGATCTCTCACTTCTGCAATATTATTGATCTTCAGAGGTGGGGGAACAAAACAGTCAGACATCAAGGAGATTTTAAGATAAGACTGGGGATGACGGGACCTGCTTTAGAGCCACTGAAATATCAGCAAGCTTTGCTAGAAGTGAACTTTCTCCCCTCCAGCTCTTTCTACCAAAGAAGGGGAAAGAAGGAGAAAGCAAATGGGAGGCCACCTTTGCCATGGCCTTCCAAGAGCTTTCTGAGGGCTGGAAATGGCTCTCCTGGCTTCAGCTTCTGCTGAATATGGTCAGGGAACCCAAATGGAGACTTTCAGAATTCACTTACACGCACTTATGGGGGGCCTTGAACTGCAGAGCCAAGATGGGCAAGTCATGGTTGGCACCCGTGAGCAAGAAAGGGGTGTTTGCGAGCTACGGAGAGCTCCACGTGCCGGGTGCTCTTAGAGACTTGTGCAAAAAGCTACAGGAGCAAAAGAGGGGGCAGCCGTTTTGTGGGTCACAGGGAATCATAAGGGCTTCATGCATCTTGAGCTAGGCCTTACGCGAAGACTAAAGTTTTCTAGAGAGGGACAAGCTTTCCATCAGACTGCCACGTGCGGAGGGCAGAACAAGTGCTTGGAGGTCACCACCCATTCCATACCCACTTGTTCAGCACTGCCGGGCGCCGGGACCTTCCGAGCAGCCAGAAGACCACAAGAGCAAGGCCGAGAAGGGCCCTGCTGCCACGCCTCTCACGGAGCTGCAGTCCAGCGGCATTTCGCTGAGGCCCAGAGCCAGCCAGGTAAGATACAGTAAGATCCAGTAAGTGTACTGGTCTGTCAAAGGAGCATCTGCACTATAGGGGTTCCAAACAAGACTGACAAGGTGGCCGGGAGTCTGATCACCACGGTAAGCTGTGTGTATTATATTCTAAGTGGAAAAAAAAGATATGACTCATTCTGTGTTTTTAAAAGATCCTTGACCTAGTGCCAGTGGACACGCCCAGCAACCACACCTCAGTTTCTAATACAACTCTCCACTCCACGGACTCCAAGGACTCCGGGGCTCCTGGAGACATGGCTGGTTCTAGGGCTGGGTCAGGGAAAGCACTGCATGAGCCCACAGCAGGAAGAAGCGGTAAGAGGGGAGGAGGTACTCGGGAAAAACAGACATGGGGGCAAGTCATATGGACACAGGAGCCCACCTGAAGGAGCGCCCAAATGCCAAAGCTGGAACAATCTGAGCAGCAAATAAATAACATAGTATTGAATTAAAATAAATGCCTGAGATTCCATATTGCATACAAATGATGAATCAATCAGCAAATGAATGAATAATTGAGGAAGAAGAGACAAATCTCCCATACAGCACTCCCAGTAATGTATGTTGATGCTCTCCCCCCCAGCAAACAGGTTCAATGCCCTCCTGCCCCCTGCCTGCCAACTGCTCTCAGTGACTCGCTTCCAAAGAGAGGGGAGAGGGAAGGAGCCCACGTGGATAAAGTGCTGCCCCAGCAAGTGACAGAATTCCATGTCACCCGTGAGCAGTCACACTGATAGCATGCACCCCGGGTGCCATGTGCTGAGATGGGCCCTTCACCCCTGTGGCCATGCTCCCCAAACCCTAACTCCCACCTCAGCATGAGAGAAACATCAGATAAACCTAAATTGAGGGGCCTTCGACAAAATACCCAACCAGTACTCCTCACACTGTCAAGGTCATCACGAACAAGCAAAGTCCAAGGAACTGTCCCAGCTCAGAGGAGCAGAGGAGACATGATGACTACGTGTCCTGTGGGAGCCTGGATGGGACCCTGACACAGACAGAAGTCCGAGTGGAGGATGCAGTTCAGTTAATAGCAAGGCGCCCAAGTGGGTTACTTAGTTGTGACAAACAAGCCACAGTAATGGAAGTTGGTGAAAGTAGGGGAAACTGGGTGGGGGTGATGGGAACTCTGTGCTATCTTTGCTACTTCTCCATAAAACAATTGTATATTTTAAATTTTTTTAAAGATTTTATTTATTTATTTGAGAGACAGAGCACGAGCAAGGGGAGAGGCAGAGGGAGAGGGAGAAGCAGACTCCCCGCTGAGCCCGATTGGGGGCTTGATCCCAGGACTCCGGGATCACGACCCTGAGCCGAAGGCAGACACTTAACCAACTGAGCCACCCAGGTGCCCCTTTTTGTTGATTTTTAAAAGCTCTTTGTATATTATGGCTATGAATCCTTTATCAGTGTAAATATTTTTCTAGACCTATCATTTGATTCCATTCTCTTCTTTTAAAGCATTTATTTATTTATTTATTTATTTATTTATTTGACAGAGAGAGAGAGAGCACAAGCACGTGGAGCAGCAGAGGGAGAGAGAGAAGCAGGCTCCCCGCTGAGTAGAGAGCTTGACATGGGGCTGGATCCCAGGACCCCAGGATCATGACCTGAGCCGAAGGCAGACGACCAACTGACTGAGCCACCCAGGCGCCCCCAACTGTACATGTTTAAAAAATGTAAATATCCTTGTGCCGCTGTGGGCTGACAAAGCTGGGGGGGAGCAGGACAACAGCTCTGCAGGCTGGGGGTGACAGTGAGGATGGGGACAGGGGGCCGGGTGTGTGTTCAGGTGTGTTCTGGAGGCAGCGGTGGCAGGACTGGCTGACAGACTGGGTGTGGAGAGTGGGGGAAAGCGGGATCACTTCTCATGGAAAAACTACCCATGAGTGGCTTAACTGATTGGGAGGAACTGGTCGGAGGGTATAGACGGGAGACAGGAATCCAATGTTGGAGATGCTTGTGGAATAGCTAAATCGAGGTGTCAAATAAGCGCTTGAATGTAGAGACCTGGGGCTCAGGGAGAGAGCGGTGCTGAAGACACAATGATCTACCGGCATCTATTTTGTATTTAAAGTGATAAAAGATGACATGTTCCTCCAGCAAATATTCTCTGAGCGCCTACTGTTCACCAGGTCCTGTTCCAGGCACTGGAGTTCTAGCAATGAGCAGAGCAAGCTAAAAGGAGGCCGCAGTGTCAGGCTGCAGAGTCATGAAGAGAACAGAGTAGGAGAAAAAGGGGAGCTGCGATGACTGGGGGGGACAGAGGCGTGAACAATATGTGGGGACGAACCACGTGGAGCCACCTGGGGGAAGAACATTTTGGGCAGATGCAACCGCAGACACAAAGGCCCCGACGTGAAGAAAGCGATTAAACCCGGCGCTGTGGCCCTGGAGAGAGAGAGACTGAGCATCGGGGAGAAGCCACCTGGAGCCACCGGCGGGGTGCCGGCCTTTGTGGGGGGCAAGGACCTCCCCACACTAGAGAGCAGGAAGGCAGAGTGTACGGCGCAGAGGCTGCAGGGGCTGGGAGCCTCGCAGATTTGGTGGTGGGAGGCAGCGACCGTCTCTGGGCCAAGAGGGGATCATCTTTGCTTTAAAAAGATGAAGTGCGGACCCTTTAGAACAAAGATTGGAGGTCAGGTGGAGGCCACAGCTGAAGAGAGAAGTAATGAGGTCCTGAGCTGGGGGCTGGAGGTGGCGAATTCCCCTGGCTGCTGTGACAAACTACCCAACTCAGTGCCTAAAACAACGCACATTTATTATCTTACGGTTCTGGAGGGCAGAGGTCCGGAACCGTCTGCCTAGGCTGAAATCAGGTTGCTGCAGGACGGTGCTCCCTCTGGAGGCTCCAGGGGAGAGTCCATTTCCTTGCCTTTTCCAGTTTCCAGAAGCCACCTGTGTTCCTGGCTCCTGACTTCTGGCCCCTTCCGTCTTGAGAGCCAGAAGAAGGCATCTTTCGATCTCTCTCTGGCTCTGCTTCTTCTGCCTGCGCCTTCCACAGTTCAAGAGATCTTGTGATGACATTAGGCCCCGCGGGTAATCCGGGCCCATCTCAGCTGATTAGCAACCTTAACTCCATCTGCAACCTTCATCCCCGCTTGCCGTGCGATCACCATATTCACAGGTCCTGGGAATTAGGACACAGACTTCACGGAAGCCTGCATGGGAAGTACAATGAACCGGCTTTAGCAAGGTTCAACGAGGGTGGGCGTGCCAGCAGGGTGGTGAGGGGCGGGCCTTTGGGAGTCAAACAGATGAGGTGCAGACCCCACCCCCACCGCCCAGGATCAAGAAGGCTATGGGCACGCCCCTGGCCCACCCCAGGGCTCAGGTCTGGCAGAGCTGTTTCCAGGATGACAAAGCACATAGGTAGTGTCCTAACACCACATCCGCTACCCGGAGGAGACCAAGAAGTAGTAACTGTTGTTTTTGGCAACTGACGTGGTGGAGACGGGGGAAAGGAAACCAAACACAAATTGGGCTCCTCGACCAGGGACTGGCTGGATGGGAAAAGGATGGAAGGCACTTGAGGAGAAGCCAGTAGGGACAGAAAATAGGGGTAACTCCCCAGATGTTGGCTCTGGGGGGCGGGGGCCCCCAGGGAGGGGACTGCATGCTGCGGGGCCATGCTGGGCCAGTTACTCGGCCCACTGCTCGCTCACCCTGGGGGTCCGGCCTCCTAGGAGGATGAAGGTTAAATGCAACAATGCCTGTCGGGCCCTGGCGTGCAGTGCCTGGTACGTGGGCAAACACCAGTCACAGGCCGTATCACCCTCCTGAAGGACAGGCAAGTGTGTGAACTAGAGGCGAGGAACTCGCAGAAGCGCAAGGATGCAGCCCGCGTGCACTCATCCAGTACAGCCGAAATGGACACTGAGGCACGGGCTGCAGGAGGGCCTCCCTCAGCTTCTGTTCCCACTCCCAGGCTATTCTCCGCAGCACAGATGCTGTGCCCGCAGACACATCACGGTGGGCGGGGACAGGGCCATCGGGAAACTTCCAGGAGATTCAGCTAAGGGGCCGCCTCCTCCAGGAAGCCAGCTGGGTTAAGTGCCCTTTCCCTGTCCTCACAGGGCAAGCAGGCATAAGCCCTCTCTGGACATTTCCAGGGTGCTGTCACTGTCTGTGGATCTGTCTGCCACAGACCCTCTGGGAGGGGCAGGAAATCGTGAGCAGCCTTGGGGTTCTCTCCAATAGCGAGATGCGTCCAATCAGATAGAGGGAAGCTCCATTTTTTTCTGCAGGTCAGTGGTTTTTAAGAATTCTTTACAGACTTAGACACCCACGAAAACTCCTCAAGGGAGAACACGGGGCCTCCTTCATGTCTGTGTACCAAGAACCTAGTACTGGGCCGCTTCACTAGGAGTTCAAAGGAGGGGAGGGAGGGAGGAAGGGACATGGGAAGGGAAAGAATGGATAAGGAAAAAAAAAAAGTTGTGTGGGTTTTTCTGAACCTAAAAGAAACATTTCAAGTTTCCCCAGCTGTTATAAATACACTGCTAAGCACCTGTTCCCACTTCTGGTTACAGATGAGTAGGCATCTTAGCTCCACAGTGGCCAGCCCAGGACCACACTGGGCATTTTCACCAAACAGGGCCCAAGACTCACAACCCGCACCCACACAACCAGGCCCTGCTCCCGCCATGCTCCATCCTGAGAGACCTCCAGATTCCTCAGGCAAGGCCATATACTCAGGGAGAGGAGAGCAGAGACCAGGCCCCCACAGAAGCCCAAGAATCCCCCTGCCACCTCCCCACCTGCAATAGCACCAGCCCCAAGGTCAGCCAGCAGCCATGGCCCGGCTGGGCCCGGGAAGGAGCCTGGAGCTCCCACAAACCACCATGGTTTATTCTCCTGTTTATTTATATTGGGTTTATCATTGTTATCATTACTGCAATTTTTAATTTTCTTTATCCTCTCCTTGGAAATGATGCCACAGGGAAATAGTTTTACTTTAATCAGATGGCCAAGTCTATGGAAAACCTGAACAAGACACTGAACCACTGCAAAAATGGATCATCCGTCAACCCAACCAGAAGATTCCCGCCACCTCCCAAATCTTGGAGGCTGCCGCTGACCCTCCCCAAATGTTCCTGTCACTAGATTATCCATCATGATCAGGACCATAGTCCATGCCTTTCTAAAGGGCCTCCACATCGAGGGGCACCTGGGTGGCTCAGTCGGTTACGTGTCTGTCTTCGGCTCAGGTCATGATCCCTTTGGTCCTGGGATCGAGCCCCGCGTTGGGCTCCTTGCTCAGCAGGGAGTCTGTTTCTCCTTCTTCCTCTGACCCTCCCCCTTGCTCATGCTCTCTCTCAGTCTCTCTCTCTCTCAAATAAATAAATAAAATCTTTTAAAAAGGGGTGCCTCCACATCGATTCTCAAAGTCACCCTTGCTCAATTCCTGTGACACAGAGAAAGCAAATGCTCTGAGCCCCATTTCACAGATGAGGACACGGAGGCCTCTTCTTCCCAGGGTAGTGACTGCGAAATGCTCTGTGTCTCCTCCCGCACCCCCACACACTCCTGCTCCCTTTTCTCCCCACCCAAAGAGGCTCCCAGTTACCCCCCATTCCTACTCTGAGAGGTCCCAACCTCGTGACCCAAACCTCAAAAAATACACGCAGAGCTGAGTGTGCAAATGTGGCTTTCCAAGTGAACTAAAAAGGGTTAAGGATCATCGTCCCATCCCCTGCTCAGACGTTGTGCCATCAGCCCTTCGTGACCATCCCAGTCAGCCACCCCCCAGGTCCCCAGGCAGGACTCCTTTGGGGATCATGAAGCAGGACCTGCCCTGGTGGCAGTTGTATGAAAATGTCCCTGTGGGCTTAAATGTATGGAGGTGACTGAGCGATGACACGAGGGGCGAATGCCATTGGCAGATTTCGTTGTTACTCCCCGTTCCCCTGGAAATGAGAGGCACGGGGCGGCACACGCGGCCACATGGGAAACCGCAGGGTGGGTCAGGAGACAGAAGGCAGAGCACGGGGACGTCACAGCCACGCCCTTCACGGTGTATCCCGTGCGCAAGGCAGGCCAGGCCAGGGGCAACTGCCAGGGCCTGGCTAGCTTGCATGTGTCACTGGCAGACTGTGGGCCCGGGGGGTGGTGTCCGCTTGCCCGGTGCCTGGCCCGGGGTGCTGTAGAGCAGGGGATATGGGCTGGACCAAGGACGTGGGGGGGGGTGGACGCCGGATGGTCGGTTTGCATACACAAGGTGTGTTCACAGGCACATTGTTTATCATCTGCAGGAATCAGCTAGCCCTGCCAGTAAGACCCTTCAAGATGTGGAACCATCCTAAAACACAGGAAACATAAACCAGGATTGATATAGCAGTGAGGGGGAGGGGTGGGGTACAGGAAGGTCCCGATGCTCGCATACACTCGGCCTCCACAAACAAGACATCGACCTCCACACCAGGGTCCGGCTGCCACACCCGGAGAGCCCCATCCTCCACCCTCTGCCCCCACACAGAAAGCCACACTTTTTATGCCACCGGGATTAGGCTGGAGGGGCATGCAGAACAGGAGATAGGGAGACAATGGATCGTACACTGCCCATGGGCCTCCCAAAAGCCAGAAGTCGCCATCTCTCCCCAGGAGGGCACACAGCCAGGCAGTGGGGCCTGTCTCTGGCCCCGTGTGTCGCCGCTGCCCTTAGGGAAGGCCCACAACTTGCAGGGGGCACCGTTGCGGAAAGCTCCCAGGCCTGGCTCACTGCGCCTGGCGCCTCCCACTCAGCCGCCGGGGTGGGAGGGCAGAGCAGCGACACGCCCTGGAGGAGACGGCCCGCCTGGCTTCCACGAAAGCTGCAGACCCCTATACACACTCTGTGGCTTTGGGGGTCCCAGAGGCCCTGCTGCTGCCTGGATGTCTTGCCTCCCCCACTCCCCGGCAGCTAACACGTGAGACCTTTCCTTAAGTCTTTCCTTTACCATCAAGCTCTGTCCACCGTCCATTTCTCTGTATTCTTGGTAAAATGAGGTTCACTTCTTCACGCTGAGAAGGAATTGGCTTTGAAGTAGAGCAAACTGGGGTTCAAATTTCATTTCCATAATTCCTCAGCAAGTTCCTAGGTCTATGGAGCCTCGACTTCCTCATCTGTAACATGGGAATCATATCACCTCGTGGCATTGTTGCTGATCAAATGTGACGGCATGTAGCAGGTACCTCGAAGGAAAGTAACGGCCGCCTTTATATTCCTAAGCCCGTTGGAGCACAGGAATTGAAAGCCTTTGGGGTTGGGGAACGGCACGGCCACATCCTGGGGGCAGCACGGGGCCTGCCCATGGAAAAAAGGCCTGGAGGGGAAGGCCTGGGCCCATGTGCCTCTTTCTAGTTTGGCTGAAGATGCTCCTACTGCCACCAACGGCTTGGCCCCCTCATGCCCACCGGATGGCCCTGTGATGCTGTAGCTAGCCCAGACCCAAGCAGGGAGCCCCAAATGCCAGCCAGGCACCCCGGCCTCAGGATTGAGGGTGCATCGTGCTTGTGTACAAAACAATCCATAAGGTAATAATTAATAATCATCTTTGGCTGGTGAGTCGCACATCAATAATGATCTAATAGACTCCAGTGACAATAATAATAGGATTAATTAACCTGGAAAACACTGAACACAAAGGGATCTGTGGCAACGAAACAACCATCCAGGGAAACTAAAGCCCAGAGCAGAGGAGAGAGAGGCTGCTGGCCTGTGTCACCAACGAGAAGCCTCCTCACAGCGAACTCCAACTGTCCCCAAACAGGGATGCCATGATGCTAGCCAGCAGCTGCTGGAAGAGCTGTTCTGGCCTCCTGGCTGAAAACGCCAGGTGTTCGGGGTCCCTGCGGTGGAGACTGTCTCATAAAGGAGCCGGTGGAAGTGGCAGCAGAACTGGAAATTTGCCCAGAAATGAGCATCCCTGTGTGTCACCAGCCTTGTTCCTGGGCCTCCACAAAGGCCCAGACATGGGGCCGTGCTCCCCGTTCTGGCGAGGGGATCCCTGCTCGAGCGTCATCCTGAAGCTGTTCTCCGGCCGGCCCAGCTGGCTGATCCGGGCACCAGGACGTGCTCTCCCTGGGCCCCGCTGGGCGGCGGGCCCCGCCACAGCACGGTGACCTCCGCAGGATGCAGTCAAGTGCACGGCTTTCCGGAGGCCATCCAACCTCCTCCAAA